AAGTCCTTACAATTTATGATGGGGAGAAGAAAGATAGTGAGGAGCTAGAGAAAGAAGAACCGAAAGGAGATGAACATTTACACTTGCATGTAGAGGAGGTATCACTCAACTCAGTGGAAGGATTTACTCTGAATCACACCATGAATGTGAGGGACAAATTGGGAAGCAGTCGGTAGTGGCATTGGTAGATAGTGGAGGCACTCACAACATCTCAAATCGTGTTGTAGAACAGTTGAGGTTGAAGTTGATAGATACGAGAAGCTTTGGGGTCATGACGGAGACAAGGAAGGTGGAGTAAAGCTGGGCAATTTGCAAGGAATTGGTGTTGACATTATAGAGCCTACAGGTGGTGAAGGACTTCCTACCCTTGGAAATTGGAAGTACTGATGTGAATCTAGGAATAAAGTGACAAACCGATCGGAGAGATGAAGGTGGATTGAAAATCCCTAACTATGGAGATTAGGGTGGAGGGAGGGAAGGTGGTGCTGAGAGGGGATGCAAGCTTGTGCAGAACCATAGTCTCACCCAAAATCATGGTCAAAAGGATACATGAAAAAGGGTTGAGCTATTTGGTGGAGTTACGTAGTACAGAGTATATTCGGGTTCTCGAGTCAATCGAGTTCCCAAAGTGTGTTCAATAGCTTCTAAAACAGTTTTAGACATTATTCAACAGCTTAGCAAGTTACCACCACTTTGGGAGCATGAGCATGCCATTACGTTGAAGAAAGGTGCTCCTCCTACCGATATCTTCATATTCAAATGAATGAGACAGAGAGGTTGATTTAAGAGATGCTCGAATTTGGGGTTAACAGGCCCGATATGAGCCCATTTTCCAGTCCAGTTTTATTGATAAAAAAAAAAGGATGGTGCCTGGAGATTTTGTGTGGATTACAGGGCTCTGAAAAAGGAAACTGTACTGGGCAAGTTTCCTATAATGAGAAAGAATCCTGCTGATGTGCAAAAAATATCGTTCAAGACTCGCGAAAGATATTAAGAATTTTCTGTGATGTCGTTCGGCCTTACCAACACTCTGACCACATTTTAGGCTTCATGAACATAATTTTTCAACCTTATCTCAAAAAGTTCGTCATGCTATATTTTGATGACACCTTGATCTACAATCGTATGTGTGCAAAATATATTAGACACCTCAGAATAGTATCAGAGATGCTGAGAGGGCACCAGTTCTACACCAACTTGAAGAAATGCTCATTTGCACAGTCACAAGTGGAGTGCATAAAGAAATTGGGGACCAGGGCAAGGGTAGTAGAGGACTAGCCAGGCTATAGTAAACTGACCTTTGCCGAGAAGCTTTAAGGAGTTGAGAGGGTTCTTAGGTATCGCCGGGTACTATCGGAAATTTGTGATCGTATGACATGATTACATGGTCATTGACGTAGCAGCTAAAGAAAGACTGTTTCAAGTGGTAGGAAGCAACGACACAAGCCTTTGAACATCATAAGAGCCACGAGCAGAGTTCCAGTATTAGCACTCCAGACTTCAGTAGGCCATTTTTAGAATTGAATGCGTCAGAGTATGGATTGGGGGCAATACTCATACAGGACCAACAACCTATTGCCTATTTCAGTAAGATGTCCACTGTTACGGTTAAGCTCAAGTCCGTATACAAGCAACATATGATGCTTATTGTCTTGGTCGTTCAAAAATAACATCTTTATCTGTTGGGGTGACACTTTATAGTCAGGATAAATCAAAGGAGCTTGAAGTAACTATTAGAGCAGAGGATGGTGATTGAAGAGCATCAGAGTTGACTATCTAAATTACTTGGCTATGATTTTGGGATCCAGTATTGCCCAAAACTGTAGAATAAGGCTGTGGATGCACTATTGAGGAAGGAGGAGCCCCAGCTGACATCTTTGTCAATATCACTGGTCTTAGTTTGGGAAGCCCCAAGGCAAGAGAATGAACATGATTGTAGGGTTGAGAAAGATCAAGGTAGAGTTGCTACATGATCTGAATAGTCACCCAAAATATATATTGAGAAGACAACAACTAATCTAGGACGATTCGTGTTGCCAAAGGCATTTGGGGTACAATCCTAAACTATTTATATCCATATTTATTTGTGTGTATGTTTTTAGCTTGTAGATTATGTTAATAGAAAACGTTTTAGAATTAAACTCAAGGTATATAACTTTACTTTGGAGGGGAAGGAGGTGAAGTGTGCGAGCTAGAGGAGAAAAATGGCACAAACTTTAATAAGGAAAAAATTAAGTAAAGAATTTAATTAGGACTCTTCATAAAGTAAAATAATAGAAACTTAATAATTAAATGATGGAAATTTAATACCTAATTAAAATGATGACTAATTTAAATTATGTAATAAGAAAATCCATGTTTAGACTTCAAATTTTAGAATAGTCGACGTCAAGGTAAATCAAATAACAAATTAATCGTCATCAAGGTGAGCATCATACTTTTAATCTATAGCAATAATTTGTTACTTCTCAACTATTTTGCAATTGATGAACTTTCACATGCTTTATGCGATGAGCACATGAATGTTTTGTTTATATTGACTGTTTGTATGTGCATGACTGACTGTGATGGAGTTACCCCTTGATGGTATTCAAGAGAGAAAACTAAGGTACCCATACATGTATATGAAAAAAGATATTGATATTAATGTTTTAATTAAAAAAAATTAGACTGTTCCTGTGAAAGTTGTACATATATAGTAAGATATTAATATTTCATTGATATAGTAAAGTTGTTTGAATAACATTAAATATTTTTATTCATTTCTTAAAAGCTTGACAGACTTGTATATTTCTTTCTTTTCTCTTGTATTACTGCTTGTTTAGCTCATTATTATTTTAAACTAATTTTTCAGGTTAATTAAGCGACTAAGCAATTAATGATGAGCGTCAGAAAATACAACGTTTATAGAAGACACGAACAACCAATAACAAGGTAAATTTAAATATATTATTTTAATTTAATTTGATTAATGGCTCTTTCATTTGTTCAATTGCAGAAGAATATAGAAAATTTAGTTCCCACCGTCCGACCATCTGTCATCTTGGTTAACTCCAAACCCTAAGACGGGTTGTGACAACTTTATATTAGAAATGCTGAAGCTTTGGTCAAGATGGATTGATTGGGCTGAATATTGATACAACACTTCATACCATACTACAACATAGACCGCTCCTTTTAAAATTTTGTAAGAACGGGATCCACCTCACTTAATACAATGAGCATAACGCAGCATCGGTATCCAGAGTAGACCAATACTTAGAGGAGAAGGACGAGATATTGGCAGAGCTCAAGGGGCATCCACAGAGGGCCGAAAAGATGATGAAGAGGAAGGCTGATGGACAAAGGAGGGAGGTACAAATTGAGCCCAAGGATAGGTTTATTTAAAGTTGAGACATTATAGACAACATACTGGTTAGAAGGAGCAAGAAGCTTTCCCCATGATATTTTGAACCTTATAAGATTTTGGCACACATTGGGGAAATGACATATCGTCTTGAAGTTACCACCATCATCATTATTGCATCCAGTATTTTCTGTATCACAGTTGAGACGTGTTATAGGAGGCTACACACTCTCTTCAAGATTGTTAGCATGGACAAAGACAATGAAGGTGGTTTTGAAATCTTTGAAGGTAGAAGAGATGCTCCAATGAGTGACTGAGGCAAATGTGCTAATTAAGTGAAAAGATTTGCCATAACTTGAAGAAAGGTGGGAGCCTTATGAAGTGATCCAGAAGTAATATCCATCATTCCACCTTGAGGACAAGGTGTTTTTTTTGGGAGGAGTATTGTTACGCCGGTCCAGGAGGGACCGACCAGAACCCAACCAGTTTGAATATGTTTTGCAGGTGTTTTATTAGAGCTAATCACGTAGGGTTTGGGTTATGTTTTGATTCCAGCAGTTTCTTCCTTTTGTCCTTTTGTTCCTAGAGGCGTCTAGGGTTTGTGGAGAGCCAATCTACCTCTCGAATAGTAGATCATCCCTTGTATCCTGTTTGTTTGCTTTGGTATTAATCAAATTAGTCCTAATTTGGGTTTTCCCACCTAGTACTTGCAATTTGTTCCCTAATTTGGCTCTAGTTTGTATCATATTGCTTGTCAAACTTATGTTAGAGGTCAGATATCATTGGTTTTTTTATTTTATATTTTTTGTTTTTTTTTGTTTTTTTTTGTTTTGATTTGAAACAAAAATAGGTTTGGATATTTGATAAGGTATCATTGTTTTTAAAAACACTCAAAACACTTGGGAGGCAATTTGAGATCACTTTTATTTTTTTTTCGATTTTTTATGTTTAGCTGTTTTTCAAAAATACTCAAACCAACTTTCAAATGCTTTGAGTGTTTATAAAAATAAGTAAATTTATTTTTTAAAACAAGAAATAAAAATATGGAAAACAAGCAAAATAAACATATTTTTAAAATAAATGAAAAATAAAAATAAAAGTGATCCCAAACAAGGCCTTAGGAAATCCAATTCTCTAGAAGACTAATCGTTCCACACAACTGTCTCATCCACTTAATAGTGGATGCTGATCTTAAATTTTTATGCATAGTTTAATTATAGGAATTAGTAAAGAAATCAGCAAAAACTCATCAGGCCCAGAAGAAAAATTACAAGCTCAGAAGTTTGGAAAGGACAAAACATATGACTGGCTGTACCAAGCCTTCCACAAACAGAAAGATTGTGATATTATGTAATTAATTAGCATTAAATATGATGTAATTCAATAAAAAAAGGCAACTTTGTATGATAGAAGGGCACAAACATCAACTATGCAAAAATGTTGGTTATTTGGAGAATTTTTAAACCCATAAACTAATGAGCACATTTTCAAATAAATTAACAGGAAACAACTTTCTGCAATCATTTCCAAAAATATCTTTAGCATGCATTAAGCCGCATAATATACCGAGAACATGAAAACATAATAAAAATACTTTTCGGAATTTGATATTATTAGAACCATATTAAAACTGTAATGCATATGATATGCTTACCACTTCTATTAGGCTCGACCCTTCTCTTAAGCCGAGAAGACCCACTTCTTTTGCCTTTCTGGCAAATGGCAGTGTCTCGGTATCAATACCAGGCCTTTCATCTGTAATAAGCCCCTGAAATTGCCAGGAGGGAGAAACATCATTTCATTCACTATAACGTCGAAATTAGTCTACAATAATCTGCAGTTGAAAACTAACTTCAATGCCAAAAAACCAAGAATATTGCATAATTAACAATAACATATAAGTTAGCAGAAGTTCACAAAATTGTAAATTTTGATAGTTTTTAATACAACATCTTCCTTCATCAAATACAACTTTTCCACATGATTAATAACAAATATTGCCAAACTGATCTGCCAAAATTGAATATGATCTATAAAAAGCAATTATTCATGAAAACAATCGATTATCTACACTGAATAAATGAACATTTGAACAAATTGTAAATCGATTGGATACCATACTCTAACCATTAGCAAAAACAACATAAAACTAAATTTAGTGAAAGATAATTACGACTTATTTTTAGGCTGAAGTTATAGACACTCCCATATCGATGTTTTTAAAAACGCGCTTTGAAGTGCACTTCATGAGTAAGGCGAAGCGAAACGCGTGACGCGCGCTTCGTTCTTTGCTAAAGCGTGCTTCAAAGCTCTAAAATAAATTTGCATATTTTATTTGTAAATTTTAAGTTTTAAAATATTGCAGCAAATCATTAGAAATTATTCAAAAGTTTAATTTGCAGGTTTACCCTCAATATTTATTTTCAAGTTAAGTATTGTACCACAACAACAACAATAATATGCCTTTATAACACTGAGTGGGATAGGCTAAATGAATCCTTTTTATCCATTGTGTCCTATTGAGTGTCATATTTTTATTTAATTCTAAGAGTTTAAGATCATTTTTTATACAATATGCCCAAGTATTTTAAGGCCTACCTCTGCCTTTCTTAACATGAGTCAAAGCTAAAACATATACTCTCCTAACCGGATCAACAGATGGTCAACGTTTAGCGTGACCGAACCATCTAAGACGACTCTTTTTAATCTTGTCCACCACTGTAGCTACACCAACCCTATCACAGATATATTCATTTTGCATTTTGTCTCTAAGTGCCAAGCCACTCATTCACCTAAGGATTCTCATCTCAACAATACTTAACTTTGTTTTATGCTTCTCTTTTAAAGGCCAACATTCTGCTCCATAAAGCATTGTAGATCTCACCACCATCTTATAAAATTTCCTTTCAATTTAAGTGGTACTTTTCTATCACACAATAGGCCTGAAGCATTCATCCACTTAAGCCAACCAACTTGAATTCTCCTAATAACAACCCTATTTATATCACCATAACTCTGAACAATAGTCCCGAGATATCTAAAACATTCATACTTATTAATGATTTGATCACCCATAGTTACAAATCTCCACTAGAGCTACTACTACTAAAATTACATTCCATGTATTTAGTTATAATTCTACTCAAATGAAAGTCTTTAGACTCCAATGTCGACCTCCATAAATCAATTTTTTCCTGAACTCTTTCTTTAGTCTTATCCACAAGAAGGATATCATCAGCGAAAAGCATACACCAAGGAACATCCTCCTGTAAATGTCCAGTAAGAACATCCATAACTAAACATCCATGTAAGAACATCCATAACTAAAGTAAAAAGATATGGGCTAAAAGCCAATCCCTTATGTAATCCAACTGAAATAAGAAAATATTTGGTCAATCCTCCTTCTGTATGAACACAAGTAATAACTCTAATATACATATCTTTAATGACTTGAATAAAAGTCAAATCAAAACTTTTTTTCCTAAAACTCTCTAACAAACTTCGCTTGGAAATTGCCTTATCATCAGCTTTTTCTAAATCAATAAAAATCATATGTAGATACTCCTTATTCTCTCTGTACTTCTCCATACTTCTCCATCAAACCTCGTATAGCTTCTATAGTAGACCTCCCCAACATAAATCCAAATTGATTATGAGAAATCTTTGTATTGATTATGAGAAATCTTGAGAAATCTTTGTATCATGTCTTAACCTATGTTCAATAATCCTCTCAAATAATTTTAAAATATGACATCAACTTAATTCATCTATAATTTGCATATTCTTGTGCATCCCTTTTTTTCTTAAAAATGGGGACCAATATACTCTTCCTTCAATCCTCAAGCATCTTTTTAATTTTTAAAATAATATTGAAGAGTTTAGTAAGCCAAGAAACTCTCAAATCTCCTAAATATTTCCACACTTCAATTGAGATGTCATTAGGTTCTACTGATTTTCTACCCTTGGTTCTCTTTAAAGTCTCATCAACTTCTTTTTTACTAATGCGACGATAAAAACAAAATATTTTATTATTATTAACGATACTAAAATCACAAAAGTTGATCGTATTTTCAAAAACTTCATTGAAAAGTTTATCAAAATAGTTCACCCACCTATGAATATATTCTTCTAAGAAGAATAATTTTTATATTTAATACCTTTTACTTGAGTTAAATATTTACTTTTATTTTCTCTTTGTTTGGCTAGTTTATATATATATTTTACACTCACTTTAATATCTAATATATTATAAAGATTACTAAAAACATAATTTTTAGCGCCACAAATTATACTCTTAGACCCGCTAAGAGCCACCTTATACTTTTCGTAATTCTCTAAGTTTTTTGATTTAAACTCATTTTTATAACACAACTTCGCAAATTATCTTTTTTTGCACATTATCATTCCACCAAATACTATTTTTATTTATAGAAACTTTTCCTTTTGATTCTCCAAGTACAATTTTTGCCACTACCTTAAGAGTATTGATTACTTTATCCCATATAGATTTGATTCTTCATGAACATCCCAAATCTTGAAATCTTGGCATTTACTCATAAAAATAATTTTCTTTTTGCTTTTTAAATTTCCCGATCTAATTCTATGATAACAACTTATAGTATTTTTTATTTTACAACGCTTCATTTTAAAATATAAACTAATAATTGATGTTGAGTACTTAAATTTTCACATAGATTGACCTTACAAATCTTTACATTCTCGACGATCTATTCTTCTAATAAGAAAATAATCAATTTGTGTTTTATTAGATCAATTCTTATAAGTAATAATATTTTCATCACTTTTCTTAAATAAAGTATTAGAACAACAAAATCATATGCTAAAGCAAAATATAATATGGTTCTACATTCTTCATTAATCACTCCAAACCGTAGCCACCATGAATATTTTTAAAGTCTTCTACCACTCTACTAACATGTCCATTTACACCTCCTCCAATAAAACTTCTTTATTCAAAAGGTATCATTTGTATTAATCTTTCTAGGTCATTCCAAAATTTTTTTTAGAAACTACATCTAAACCTACTTGAGGAGCATAAACACTTGCCATTGAAAATCATAGTATCAACAACAATCTTAAGGGATATAACTATATCTTAAATTCTATTAATTTTGACAACATTATCTTTCAAACTCTTCTATAATTACACCCACACCATTTCTAGTGTAATCCTACCTACCTGAATACCAAAGTTTAAAATCTAAGCTATCAATCTCCTTAGGCATTTACCCAACCAATTTAGTTGCTTTAATATATAAGATATTTATCTTCTTATGAACCATAATATCAACTAGTTCCATTAATTTAACTGTGCCAGTACCCATATTCTAAAATCCTATCCTAAAATTAGTCTCATAGACTAACTTATTTATCTGCATCCGTCTGTAATGTGGAAAACCTTGCTTATTAGACACTACTGTTGACCTCATTTTTGTGAGGTCTTTTCTTCTCCTCCTTAGAGCCTAGGTTCTAGCTCTAGAAATTCTTATGGACCATCTTAGAAAACTAGAATTGAGACTCACCCTTCTAGAAATTCCAGCCAATTCCTATTTTCCTTTGATGTCTAGCATCTTTGGCACAAGACCATCGTCTTATGAACGAGCGGTTATGGGCTATGTTGCGTAGATTCAAGGAAAATGTTCCAAATAGGACTTCAAGCCTTAGGAAAACATCGTCACCACCTTTTTCGTCACATACACACATCAAATACACAAAGTTCACGAAATTGCACGAAATCGGACTTCAATTAAGCCCAAAGGACGGGTGAAGATGCGAACTTTTCCGGATGACCTCCGACGACAAAATGGACTGCACCAACGCGTCCGGGATACCCATTTTGGTAGGAAAGGACACATATATATATATATAATTCTTATTTTCCCCTAAATCCCTAAATACCCAAATCCATCGCACGCAAGACCCCATTTTTTTTTCCTCTCGGTCGCTCGGTCCACCCCGAGCTTCCTTCCTCCCGACTGCAGCCCTAGCCGAGCGGTCCCCCTTCTTCGTCACGAAGCTTCGCCCGCGGTCCCTTCCGCGTGCTCCTCGTACGCCTGCTACCCTGCGAAAGCTTTCCGCGCCGTGCCACGCGAACTGCCCCCCCTGCAACCGAGCTTCGTCATCTCCTCACGCGAGGTTTGTCGCTTGTCTTGGCTCGGCTCACCGCCCAGGTAAGCGATGTTGTTATTCCTCCTCCCTCTCCTGCTATAAAAACCCCATTTCGGGGAGTTCTAGGGTTAGCCGAATTTTGTTTTGAGCGGGGGAGGTGCTGCCATTTTTGTGTCTCGTTCCTTCATTCTGTGTGTGTATTTGAGGCACTGCGAAGGCTTTGTCTTCTCTTGGAAAAAGCTTGAAGGAGGAGTGGTGGCCGAAATTTTGGTGCGAGGAGGGAGATTTGGATGCTTTTCTACCTCTATTACCCATTCGATTAGGATAATCTCTTCGTTGTTTTCTCTGTTGGAAAGGAAACTTTACTCTTTTGCTTTAAGTTACAAAAAGGAGAAGAGGTATTCTTCTATCCTATCCTATTTTATATTATTTCATATATCATGAATGCTGAAATTACATTTTTGGGGCTTTATCTATTTCCTCTTGCTGCCCCTAGTTGAAATGCATGTTGGAAGGATGTGTTGGAATGCTGAAATTACATTTTTGGGGCTTTATCTATTTCCTCTTGCTGCCCCTAGTTGAAATGCATGTTGGAAGGATGTGTTGGAATGCT